AACTTGCTAAACAAAATCTATACTGCTTTATATATAGTTTGTGTATATAACTACATACGGAGAGATGGAAGAAAGAGCTATATTTTTTCCCTTGTTTTTATAATTTTTTAGGTGGTGATGGACCTTGAATGATCGGATTTTTTTGGTAATAAGAGATGAATATTTGAATTAACACATTGCACCTAATAAGTTGTTTCCTACCACGAAGTTACAATTATTATATATGTAATTTACTTCAACTAATTCTGAGCCATTTGATTATATTCTCTCGTCCTAAAAGAATGATAGTATTACATACGAGAAGTCGAACCAGTTTTCTTAAATTACGATAACTTTAAATAAAATATTAAGAAGTTATTTTCTCTAGAAAATAAAGGAAGCTTACTTTTCATAGAAAAGATTAAATCATATTTCTAATACCTTATTGGATTTTTCCGGAATTATTATATGTGGGTAGTTGGTAGATATTAGTTGAAGATGGGCAAATGTTACAGTAGGGGAAAATTAAAAATGAAACCCTTAATTTGGTTGTTACAAGGTGATACAGCTGGTGCATTAAAGAGATGTAGGCTCAATAGCAAACACTGCCAGCTTAGTTCCCCAGCATTTGCTTCTTACTAAAACTAATTATCTGAGGCTCAACTTCATTAAAGAGGAATTAATCCACTCGACCATTAGTTTTAGTCGGTCAAAATACAGGGTCTATAGTGTAACACGTTTCGAGGTCAAGAAGCTGCTCGTAGCTTTCATGTGTTTTACAGATAAGATGTTATGTTATGAATTCAGCTCTAGCTGCTACAGTACGTTGTAACATTTTAGAGCCCGTTTGGACATAAAAAATTTTTTACTTTTTTTTTAAAATCAGTGTTTGGCCATAAAATTTTCAACTTTCACTTGAAGATAAATTTTGAATTTTTTTAAAAAATTAAAAAACTTCAAAAATCTGCTTTTCAAAATTTTCACTTAGATCACTCATAAACTTCAAAACAACTCAAATTATATTCATGTCCAGACACAAACTCTAATTTACAAAGATCATTTTCACTTGAAAAATTTTTAAATTTTTTTCGCAATTTTACAATTCTTATGTCCAAACGCCACTTAGTCACCAAAATCTTATAAAAAGTGGAGTTGATTTTTGGGGAAAATAATACTCCCTCCGTACCACTTTAATTGATTTTTTAACTTTTTATTTTTGTGGTTCAGAATATTTGATTTTTTCAAATATCAAAAAATAATAACTTCTTTTTTTCAAAGTTGTCGTTGGAGTAAAGAGCCTAGAAGGGGTCCCTTAATATGTGTGAAAATAGCCAAAAAATCACTTAAAGTGAACCGAAAAAAATACTGTATAGCCGGTCTCAAAATAATAGCCGATATATATCACTTACCAACGAATACATGGTCCAATAAATTAGCATATCTTCATTTAGTTCTCTCTCTCTCATATATCTGTGGCTAAACTGTAGTAGTTCTGGTATTACAGGTTGTCCTAATTAACCCTAATTCTTTTGCACCTTAAACCATTTATTCAAGAATTCCAGCAACAAAGATGTAAATCTGGCGGCTGAAATAAGTGAAGGGGCATTCCTCACAACCTGCAGATGGCAGGGAGCCAGGGATATGTGGAAACTTCAAATACCACTAATAAGCCATTTTTGCAACCTAACTGTCTTATTTTCCTTCTATTTTAGTTATATATACACGTGATGTTTTACCTTTATCTAAACCCAAAGGACAAAGTGACGTGGTGTCTGTTGAACGAAAACAGCTGCTGAATCCATGAAAAAATGATAATAATAAAAGAAAATAATTAGGAAAACTGTTTCTTACCTATAAATGAAAAAAATTCTGATCCTTTGAGTTATAGCAAGGGACCGATGCATGCAGTTCAATTTCCTTAGACTGCGGCAACATATAGAATGGCACGTGAATTGTGTCTAGCTTTGTGTTATTAAATCATGAATTTGGCCCAGGTACAGTTAGAGGCTGATTTAAATTCTATGTGTTCAATCGTTGAAGTTTTAAGTACTGAACTTATTATACTTTTAAAATTATAGGTTCACATTTATTATAGGTTGTAATTTTAGTCAATTTTATATATAAATTCATGCTCCATGTCGAAAGTTACGGGTTCAATTAAATTGGGTATTGTTGTGTGGATCCGCCCCTCGGTACATAGGCGTATGTAGCATTAAAGCTATAGGTTCAATTGAACTCATAACTTTTGACGTAGAGCATAAATTTATGTGTAAAATTCACTAAAATTATAAAAAATAGCAAATATGAACCCATAATTTTTAAAGTATAATGATTTTAATATTAGAATTCTTAAATTTTGAACCTAAGTTTAAATTCTGAATTCATCAATGCCCGGATACAATATTCTACTTATATACTCTCTTATTCCATTTTAAGTGTCTTTTACTGAAAGGTTTTAACAGTCCAATAAGAAAACATTACGCATAAGGTATAATTTATCAAATTACTTTTATTTATTTCTTTCTTAAATACCCACAATTCAAATTAGAAAATATATAACAATAACAACACAGTATAATCTCACTTAGTGGGGTCTGAGGAGGGTAGTGTGTACGCAGACCTTACCCCTACCCTAGAGTAGAGAGGTTGTTTCCAAATAGACCCCCGATATCCTTCCCTCCAAGAACTTCCCACCTTGCTCTTGGGGAGATTCGAACTCACAACCTCTTGGTTGGAAGTGAAGGTTGCTTACCATCAGAGCAACCCCTCTTGTCCAAATTAGAAAATATATTCTTTCTTTTTTTTACCCGTATCTTGCACAAATTGATACTCTGTACTAGGGGTGTACAAAGGAAACCGACAAACCGCACTAACCCGATAATCCGAGTCAAACCGAGAAAAAAACCCCGACTATGGTTTGGTTTGATTTGGTTTGGTGTTGGGAAAAAAACTCAACCATAATTGGTTTGGTTTGGTTTTAACTAAAGAAAGTCAAACCGAAACCAAACCAACCCGACATTACATACATAGAAATTTTGGATATATTTAATATATAAGTATACTTATTGTGATATAATTTATAAATATTTCTAAAAAATGTTCATAATTTTAGCTTGTAAGGTATTATTTCAAGGTTGTACTTAGAACTTTTGAATGTTCCAATAAGTTTTATAGTCATTAACACTAGTAAATAATGTAATACTAACAAAAGCCCAACCAAAATCAAATCAATATTAATGCTAACAAAAGACATTCAATTCAATACTACGAACGGGAATGTATTGAATATCTATTTTTTGTTTTGCAATAATTTAGATAAAAATGCATAACCTATTTTTATTTTTTCTTTAGCGTTTAGTCATGTAATTAATACTCCCTTATTAATCTACTTATTTTAGCATGACTTAGTACTTTTAGATTATCTTTATTTTTATTATGGCTTTTTAATTAGCAATATTTAATTACATTATTTTATTATCTTTATTGTTGAATATTTTAGGATAATGTCAAGACACATCTCATATTTTGTATTATTTTCTTGGAAAATACTTTATATATTTGTATCTTACTAGGATTAAAGAAATATTTTGAGCATAATTTTATATGTTTTGTTTTACGAAGATTTTATCGGGGAAAAAATACAAAAATCCGAATAACCCGAAAACCCGAGAAAACCCGAGAGAAAAAAATTCGAGTTTTATTTGTTTGATTTGGCCTTTAGATTTAATAACCCGATATAATTAGTTTGGTTTGGCAATTATAAAGTCCGAACCAACCCGACCTAAGTATACCCTACTCTGTACTGTGAGGATTTGGGACACTTAGGGCTCCCGATCTTGCGCGTGAGTCTTAATGAAGCCTAAAGGACTTTATTACACCGCGGTCACACAGCGCAGCTTGCATTATATACCAAGTGGTTAAAACCGAGAAGCCTATGATATACGAAGCAGCAGAGGTGGACTAACCAGGTGCTTAATTTTCCTCTTCTTTTTTTTTCTTCAAGTAACTCGGGTTCTAAAATTTTTTATTAAAAATACTAAAAAAGTTTTTATCATTCCACCACGCCTATTTTCGCTAATGTGCAAAGTTACATCATTACTATCATAGACCATCAGGGGGCCCACGCCTTGCTTACGTGACACCGCTTCGTTAATTTTTTTTTATAATTTGTATGCATAAATAATAAATAAATTTAAAATATTGGGTATAGATACAAAAAATGATAACGGTTAATGTTACAATAATTTATTCATTTGTTCACTTTTTTTTAAATATTGACACTACTTATAAAAATTCTTGTGTACGCATAGACCACTCACATATTCCTAACCCATTTATTCGGAATCTTGAAATCGTTTTACGGATGTAGTTTAGTACTAAACTTCTAGCCTAATATAGGAATCACTTCTGGAAATGAATTTGACTTCTTAGCTCTACCTACATTTAGGGGAAGCTCAGCCGAACCCAATAGTTTTGATCCAAACTTTATATTTATCTTAAAAAATTTACTTAATATATATAAAGTATTAATTTAGAATTTAATAACTTAAACAAACTAGAATTTTGAGTCATAAACTTCAAATGGTGACTAGCCGTTAACCGCATAGAAGAGGCTAATAAATTACGATGTACAGTATACTAGGCTTCTCTAGCCATGTAATACAAGGAATTAATTTGACTTATTAGCTCTACGCCTCTACCAACCGTTGAGTAACAACGCAATTAGTTCAACTGCACGTGGCGTCTACCCTCTACCGAAACAATAAAACCAAAATACAGATCATCCCACGCTCTAATAACGGGATTTTGCTTTTAATTTCCTCTTCAATTTCCCCCCAAACAGCTGGATTTATTCGCGGATCCAGTCCCCTTTAATTTTTGCCTCCCACATTAATTTTCTATCTCCCCCTCGTGCGTTTCCTTTCCGCGTTGTCTCCCTTTATATAAACTATCCTCATCACAATTCTCTTAACTTCATATTCATATATTCCGGTTTCAGTTATTTTGTAACCGAGTAAATTATGACTCCAAGAATGGTTGCCGGTTTTCGAAGATCTCTTTCTTTCAACTATCCAAATCATTCAAACAAGCCAAACAAAAAAGCTTTTCACGTTCGATCCACTAGTCTTCCATGTGATCGATCCCATCCTTTAATTTCTCAGCTCAAGGATGGGCTCAACGAGCTCAAAACATGGGCTTCCAAGCCCGAAGCCCGCACCTCTGCATGGCTCTGCGATGGCTTAACACAACTCAAAATCGTTCACGAATCCCTCGACGATCTCCTCCAACTTCCTCAAACCCGTGAGTCTCTCCATAACCACTCCGAACTCGTTGAGAAGCTTCTAGAAGACTTCCTTCGATTCGTCGATGTTTATGGGATTTTCCGGACTTTAATTCTCACATTCAAGGAAGAACATTCGGCTGCACAAGTTGCTTTAAGACGCAAAGATGAATCCAAGATTGTTTCCTACGTTAAAGCTCTAAGAAAATTAGCAAAAGAAATGGACAAACTCATGTCCAACGTGCAATATTGTATAGGAAAATATGTCCTTGTCCTACCCCAACAATATTCTATAGAAGATACAGAGCTAGTCGAAATATTGAAAGACGTTTTAGAAGTGACTGTATTAGTTTCTGTTGAGCTTTTTAATGGGCTTTCTGTGTCAATGTCATTGCCAAAATCATCTTGTTCTTGGTCGGCAAAGAAAACGAAGAAAGTGAAATTGGATGAAGGGATTGAAGAGTTTTCAAAAATGAGCTTGTTGAGAAAGAAAATAGAAAGTGAAGAGCTGAAGATGGTTTCTAAAAAAATGCATGAATTGGAAGATTGCATTTGTGAGATTGAAATTTGTGGGCAGAAAGTGTTTAGGAGTTTAATTAACGCTAGGGTTTCATTGCTCAATGTATACACACAGTAGAGAAAGAAAATAAAGATTATGCATAGATATTGTAAATTTTCCTTTAATTTGTCTACTTATTTTTTTTCGTTTTTAAACTATGTCTAATTTAATTGGGGAAAAGGAAAAGGCATAAAATGCTTCATGAGGAATGAATAGTGCTAGAGTACAGTTTTGGTTGTACAGATTTTATAGAAAAGTAAATTTTACACAGGTGATATAAAGTTACTAAGGACCGAACATAGATTTTGTCAAATTTTTGTCATTTTTTTTTTTGGCAAATACATGTTTGTTCATAAATTTTATTCATATTTTGGTAAATTCTCAAAACTCAAATTCCAAAACCAGTTTTGGCCCAAAATATTACTATTATATTTTTTAAAAATTACCCAAACTTTTATATTTTATGAAAAAGCCCACCATTTATTACTAGTAACAATATTTTTTCGTCTTCTCGATCATCTGATAGTGTATTATATAGTCCATTATAAAAATGATAATTTTGTACCAAATTTATTTATGTTCGGGACTATGGTTTGTAATAATGAATGTTATTGATGTAGGTACTGTTGGGTATTTGTGATAGTTTTTAGAACTTGTGGGTATAAATTATATTTCATATTTTTTTTAAAATAGTGAAATATATTTTGAAAACTCATGTCCAAACATATTTTCATTTTCAAATTAAATTTCAGCCCAATCAAATTTTTCAAAACAAATTTGGGAATCTATGACTAACTAAAACTTGCTTCATCTCTCGGAGAATTTGATCGAGTTTCTTCAGCTCTTACGTGTCATTGCCGTTTTATTTTTTCATCTTACGTGTCATTGCTATTTTGTTTTACACCATTTTTGAACAATGCCAGCTTTAGTTCTCACCAAAAAAATAGAGAGAAAGAAAGGGCAATGTTATTCAACCTTTTCTTGATTTTTATGTACATTTTCTACACATGAGAACAATTCATAGACTTCCTATTTCCTCTAAGACTGAACTTATTTCTTTTAGCCTCTTTTTTCTCCATGTGTTGGGTTAATCCACTACGAGGGAAGGGAGAAGATGGTCCGCATCCCAAGAAAATGTATCTGTCATAAATTTTTAAAATGACAAATTGAGACAACTAATTTTAAAAATTAAGATAAATAATTTGAGACGGAACAAATACTTCCTATATTTAATTGATGTGGCAGCATTATTATTTAGAAAATCAAAGAATTTTTTAATCATTTTATTTTAATATTTTATAAATATTATGAACTACAAGTTATTACTATGGCTTATAGTGTAGCTTTTTAATATGTAAATTTTATTTTAAAAAATATGTTTAAATTTGCTGTTAAAATTAAGAATTTTGACCCTCGTAATCCGTACCTTGCCACATCAACCGGAATTGAGGGAGTAATTTTTTTTTCCCTTATGTTGGATAGCCATTTTGAAATATGCAAAGGCAAGAAATTGGCGTTATATTCTGGTCTTCATTTCCTGAATAAACGTAGTAAGTTTATTTTGTCGGTCACTTTTTTGGATTTAATATCAATAAAGCACAAAGCTAGAATTATTTAGTAGTTGTGCGATAAAAGAAAGAAATAATTATTGAGTAGAAATCAAGTGGTCCATAAACCATAATGTGGATCACGTATGAAATTGAAAGAGGCATTTCCAGACAAGATAAAAAAGAACCTGCTGGCACAGTATTAATATAAACGCGGTCTAACATGTGAACTGGATTATTCATCTGCTACAGGAATATATCGAGAAATATATATTTTTAGTTGCTTCCACAAAAATAATAGTTAATAAAATATAAGTTTTTTTGTATATATATGTATTATATACAAATAATATATATATTTTATATACTTTTTGACTAGTTAATATAATTAATTTCAGCCAGATCAATTTTGTATTTTGCCCTAAAATAATCTAGAGAAGAAAGCAAAAGGGGAAGGGTGCTAATGAAAGAAAGCAACCTGAACATGGGGTTTCCAGGGATAATTGTGCTTTTGGTTCTTACTTAATTATCAATTAGTATTATCACCCGTGCGAATGCGTGGACACTAACCATGTAATTTATTTGAATTATTTGGATTATATGTAAATAATCTTAAAACTTAAACTTTCTCTATTAAATATAGATAGTCATTTGATATTAGTTAAGAAACGCTACATGAAAAAGATTAACCATTTCTCAAATTTCCTATATATAATTCTATTTTTCTTTTTTGATATCATTCTCGCCGGTGTCATTGGATCCTAAAATTAGTCGGGAAACAAAATATTAACTCATATTTATGACAAAACAATCAAAGGTTGAGATTATGAAGGACTCTTTGAATACGACTTGACTCTTTTAATACTACATGAACTCTTGTTTTGTGTGTTGATATCTTTCAAAATTATTTCTATTTTAAAATTTCAGTTTCTAAAACATTATTTTTAAATAATAATTTATTTTATAATAATGTAAGTGAAAATATTATCCTCAATTCAAAACTCATTTTAGTCGGTTATCTAAAAATTTTAAAAATTGTTTAGCCAGTAAATTTCTTTTTCCAGTATGGCTCCATTTTGATATTTGACATTACCCATATTAAATATCCAAGTTATTTGAATGATATGTAAATAACCTTAAACTTTAAACCTTCTAGATAATCATTAGATATCAATTACGAAACAATACATACATTTTCTCAAATCTCATAGTGATAATTTTATTTTTGCACCATTCTTATTGGTGTTATTGGAACCTAAAAATAGCCAAAAAGTGAAATAATAACTCGTATTTATGTCAAAGCACAAAAGTTGACACAATATGAACGATTCTTTGGTTACAACATGACTCTTTTACTACGACTTGAACTCTTATTTGGTATGTTGTTATCTTTCAAGAAATATTTCTATTTTGACGTGTATATATATATCAATAATTATTATCTTTATAATGATGCAAGCGAAGATATTATTCTTAATTTAAAATTCACTTTAGTCGGCTATCTAAGAATTTAAATGATTCTTTAGCCGGTGAAATTTTATTTCAATATGACGTCATTTTGAGTTTATCGATATCTCTAGCCACAGATTTTGAATTTGGAATACCTTGTATACAGAGGTGGATCTAGGATTTATACTTTATGGATTCAATTTTTAAGGTTTTAGCATTGAACTCATTATATTTTTAAAGTTATGGGTTCATATCTACTATTTTTATAATTTTAAGAATTTTTTACATATAAATTTTTGCTCAGCGTGAAAAGTTATGGGTTCAATTAAAACTGTTGTCAACACTCTACATCTGCCTCTGGATCATTAAATGTCAAATTAGTTGACTGTTATTATATAACATTTCACATATTGTCTTGAAATTGCCAAGTAGTTTTTTCTCGACACTATACTTGGCTTACCATCAATGCAAACTACTCAAATTGCATTTATATTTAAATTCAGATATCATATCAGTTTGTTAGTAATAGTAATTTTTTAAAAATGACATACAATGTTGTCACGACCCGGATTTCCCACCCTTGAGAGTCGTGATGGTGTCTACTAGTGAAAGCTAAGCAAGCCAATTGTTTGAACAATCTACCTTTTTCCCATTTTTAATTTCTTTAACAAGTGTGAATCAACAGTTATAAACAACAAAATTTAAAGCAAGCGGTGAATAAATATCGCATACAACATCTTAAGCAAAATCTACCCAGAACTAGTATCACGCTTCACAGACAGTCTAGAATTTACTACAAACAGGGTCTGAAAGATAGCTAATACACTATTTTTGAAATAGTATATGAAACAGGATGAAGGAATAGAGGGAGACGTCAGGGCCTGCGGACGCCTGCAGGACTACCTCGGAATCTCCAACTAGACTGAAGGCAGCCACCCAAGCTAAGGTCCGAATACTACTGCTCCGCGATCTGCACATAGTGCATAGTGTAGTATCAGCACAACCGACCCCATGTGCTGGTAGGTGCCTAACCTAACCTCGGCGAAGTAGTGACGAGGCTAGGACCAGACTACCAAATAACTTGTGTAATTCAACTATATACAACGGAAAAGAAAAATAATAATAAACAGTTAAGTATGGGAGGGGTAACATGCTGCGGGGACATCGAATAATAACATAAGAACAACAAATAAATATGAGGATCACCACAGTTCAATTGAAAATAGGAAAGGGGAATCTTGTTGCGGGGCACAACAAGTATCAACAAGAAACCAACAATTAAATGTATAACAATCGTAACTCAGTTATCAATAAAAATTAGGAGATCAAAGACAAGTGCACGGCATCACCCTTCGTGCTTTAACACTCTCTCACCAAAATAATACACGGCATCACCCTTCGTGCTTTAACACTCTCTCACCAAAATAATACACGGCATCACCCTTCGTGCTTTAACGCTCTCTCACCAAAATAATACACGGCATCACCCTTCGTGCTTTAACACTCTTCCTCACCCAAGCAACAATCACAAAGCAAATAGGGTAAGGGGATCTATAACATCACAATAAAATTAAGTAACAACAGAAAATCAGTGAATAAATGTAAAGGACAACATAACTCAATTATCAGCAAGAATCAGGAAAATCAAGGACAAGTGCACGACATTACCCTTCATGCTTTTACTCTTGTCCTCACCATAAGAATCAATATAATCTGCACGACATCACCCTTCGTGCTTTTACTCTCGTTCTCACCATAAAAATCAATATAATCGGCACGGAATGGTATATCGTGCGGCACGGCATCACCCTTCGTGCTTCTTCCTCACAAATCATACACGACATCACCCTTTGTGCTTTAACACTCTTCCTCACCCAAACAACAATCACAAACAATAGGGCAAGGAAATAAATAAAATTACAATAAGAATTCCGGCAAGGGAACAACAATTCAACAACAAGTCTCGACAAGGGACAACATCAAAACAACAACAATGTCCCGGCAAGGGAAGCAACATAATGATTCTCTTCTCTTTCTCACTTTTACTTCACAATTCACTTCGCAACTTGAATCAATGCTCTA